CCCAATTAAGGGACCCCCCCCAATTAAGGGACCCCCCACACACACACCATTAAGGGACCCCTTTAATTAGGGCATCCCCAATTAAGGGACAACTCGAATTAAGGGGCTCCCCTAATTAAAGGACCCCTCCCCAATTATGGGACCCATTTAATTAAAGGATGTCCAATTAAGGGACCCCTTTAATTAAAGGACTCCCCCAATTAAGGAACCTTTCCCCAATTAAGGGACTCCTTTAATGAAGAGATCCCTAATTAATGAACCCGTTTAATTAAGGGACCCCTCCCTAATTAAGAGACCCCAATTAAGGGATTCCTTTAATGAAGAGATCCCTAATTAATGAACCCGTTTAATTAAGGGACCCCTTTAATTAAGGGGCTCCTTTAATTAAGGGACCCCTCCCTAATTAAGAGACCCCCAATTAAGGGACCCCCCACCAAATTTGGGATTTTTGGGATCCCTTTGGGGGTTTTGGGGTGACCCCTCCCCCACACCTGGGACCCCTCCCCCACACCTGAGTTACCTGGGGGGGGTTGGGGTGACCCCTCCCCCACACCTGGGACCCCTCCCCCACACCTGGGGGTCCCTTTGGGGCACTGGGGGGACTGGAAGGGTGTTGGGCACCCTGGGACAGGTGGGACAGGTGTGACAGGACAGGTGTGACAGGACAGGTGGGACAGGTGTGACAGGACAGGTGTGACAGGTGGGACAGGACGGGTGTGACACAGGTGTGATGGGGATGGGTGTGACAGGACAGGTGTGACACAGGTGTGACAGGACAGGTGTGACACAGGTGTGATGGGGATGGGTGTGACAGGACAGGTGTGACAGGGGGGACAGGACAGGTGTGACACAGGTGTGATGGGGATGGGTGTGACAGGACAGGTGTGACAGGACAGTGTGACACAGGTGTGACAGGACAGGTGGGACAGGTGGGACAGGACAGGTGTGACACAGGTGTGACAGGACGGGTGTGACATAGGTGTGACAGGACGGGTGGGACACAGGTGGGACACAGGTGTGATGTGTCCAGCTGTAACATGTGACGGGTGTAATCTACAGCTGACAGGTCCAGGTGTGACAGGACAGGTGTGACAGGACAGGTGTAACAGGTGTGAGGGGACAGGTGTGATGTGTCCAGGTGTAACGTGACAACAGTGACCTACAGCTGACAGGTGACAGGTCCAGGTGTGACAGGACAGGTGTGACTCAGGTGGGACACAAGTGTGATGTGTCTAGGTGTAACACATGACAGGTGTAACCTACAGGTGACAGGTCCAGGTGTGACATGGACAGGTGTGACAGGGACAGGTAACATTTGAGATGTGGTGTGTGACAGGGACAGGTGTAACAGAGACAGGTGTGACAGGACAGGTGTGACAGGGACAGGTGTGACAGGACAGCTGTGACAGGTCCAGGTGTGACAGGTCCAGGTGTGACAGGTCCAGGTGTGACAGGACGGGTGTGACAGGACAGGTGTAACAGGAGAGGTGTGACAGGTCCAGGTGTGACAGGACGGGTGTGACAGGACAGGTGTAACAGGAGAGGTGTGACAGGTCCAGGTGTGACAGGACGGGTGTGACAGGACAGGTGTAACAGGAGAGGTGTGACAGGTCCAGGTGTGACAGGACGGGTGTGACAGGACAGGTGTAACAGGAGAGGTGTGACAGGTCCAGGTGTGACAGGACGGGTGTGACAGGACAGGTGTAACAGGAGAGGTGTGACAGGTCCAGGTGTGACAGGACAGCTGGGACAGGGCCAGGTGTGACAGGTCCAGGTGTGACAGGACGGGTGTGACAGGACAGGTGTAACAGGAGAGGTGTGACAGGTCCAGGTGTGACAGGGACAGGTGTGACAGGACAGCTGTGACAGGTACACGTGTGACAGGACAGGTGTGACAGGTCCAGGTGTGACAGGGACAGGTGTGACAGGACAGGTGTAACAGGTCCAGGTGTGACAGGACAGGTGTGACAGGGACAGCTGTGACAGGACAGGTGTGACAGGTCCAGGTGTGACGGGACAGGTGTAACAGGGACAGGTGTGACAGGGACAGGTAACATTTGAAATGTGGTGTGTGACAGGACAGGTGTGACAGGACAGCTGTGACAGGTACACGTGTGACAGGACAGGGGTGACAGGACAGCTGTGACAGGTACACGTGTGACAGGACAGGGGTGACAGGACAGCTGTGACAGGTACACGTGTGACAGGACAGGGGTGACAGGACAGCTGTGACAGGTACACGTGTGACAGGACAGGGGTGACAGGACAGCTGTGACAGGTCCAGGTGTGACAGGTGACATTTAATGGGTGACATTTGACAGGCAACATTTGACAGGTGCCAGGTGATGGGTGACATCTGCCAGGTGACAAGTGACAGGTGTCGCTGGCGGCTGCCGCGTGCCGCGGGCACCACGTGCAGGTGACATCCAGGTGACGCGCAGGTGACGCGCAGGTGACGCGCCCGGCCCCGGGGATGATCCCGGAATAGCCGGGCGGGATTAGGGCGGGGCCTGGCCGGGGACAGAGGTGACACCGGGCCAGGGGGGACACGGGGAGGGACGGACAGACGGCGGGACAGGGGACACTTGGGGCAGGGGACACCTGGGATAGGGGACACCTGGGACAGGGGACACCTGGGACACCTGGGACACCTGGGACAGGGGACACCTGGCACACCTGGCACAGGTGACACCGGGCCAGGGGGGACACGGGGAGGGACGGACAGACGGCGGGACAGGGGACACTTGGGGCAGGGGACACCCGACAGCACAGGGGACACCTGGGACAGGTGGCGTGAGGGACACCTGGCACACCTGGGACACCTGCGTCCCAGGGGACACCTGGCATGGGGAACACCCGGCACAAGTGACACCAGGTCAGGGGGGACACGGGGAGGGACAGACAGACAGCAGGACAGGGGACACCCGGGACAGGGGACACCTGGGACACCTGGCACAGGTGGAACCCACCACACCTGGCCCAGGTGACACCAGGTGGGGGTTCGGGGGGTGGGGGTTACACCGGGTGAGGGTGACACCGGGATGTGACACCGGGGGCTGTCCCAAGTGTGTCACCTCCCCAGGTGTGTCCCCTCCCCAGGTGTGTCCCAGGTGTGTCCCCGTGTCCCCTCCAGGTGTGTCCCCTCCCCAGGT